CATGGCAATGCTTCATGACGGGCGTGCATGGCCCTTCAGGGAATGTGTGGGTGAGGGTGAGGGTGAGGGTGAGGTCGAGGGTGTCCTTTCTCCACCGACATGTCCAAGCATGTATGTATGTCTATGAAACGGGGAACTCTGTCCTTTCTGGCAGAGGCCATTGAAGAAAGGGGTCCAATCGTGGCTTGCTTACTACTACTCCAAGGTCTCATACTGCGCAGAAAGTGGTGGACGGGAGAAAGACAGGAGATGGTGGATTCGATAAATTGCGTACCACCGCATTGATCGGGGTTTTTCAATAAGTCAACAGCTTCTTCTGGCCACCCATGAGACCGCCGCCGCCGTTACCAGCGGCCTTGTGACTGGGTTTGGTGTATGAACAGAATCGATCTTTGATGCTCACAACCTCGTAGATGCCCTCGTCGCTGGCACGGATCATCTTGCTGAATTCGTCTGACGTGTCGTGGCGTGTCTCGAGAACTCGGGCTTTGCCCGTGCCTTTTCTGAGGTTCTCCGTGCGAGTATATCTGGTAAGCGTCATCAAAATGTCAGTATATCTTCCAACTGTCTGTTGATTGAGGACACAATGCGTGGGGGAAGAGACAGTGATACTCACGTGAATTCAAAAGGTGGCGTCCCGGTAAACGTAAACAGTATGTCCACCTCCCCTCCCTCATGAATGTCGCTGATTACCGTCTTTCCCTTGCCAATTTCAACAGTCGGATACGGATGAATGACTTTTCTGATGTCTTTCCTTGCGCGGCATTTGTTATTCCCCATCGCTGAGTCGCTGACACCCGTAATGACAAACTCTCCTGGCGACTCAGCAAGCCGTCTGAACTCATTACCCGAAACACGTGCTTTTCGTTCACGATTCTGGAAAGTATAGAAAACGTCAAAGGGAGCTTGGCCGCTCAGGGAGAAGGAGACGTGCTCGCCCACACAGTAATGTTCTTGGGACTCCAGCGGGATGATGGCCGGTGGCGATGAGACATGAATGCGGACGGCGGATGGGTCCGAGTCGAGGATGGATTCGCAGCCAAGCGCGTCTTTAACTGAACGAATAGAAACGGTATGTGTACCTAGGTCGAGGGTGGCCCGTGAAAGTGGCCACGAGTAGCTACGCGTGGCTATGTCTTTTTGGCGGATGATCTCAGGGCGGGTTGATACGCCGTGGTGAATGATGGCAATTTCAACACTGAAAGGGGGCGTGCCTGTAAAGGTGATTGGTATGTTTTCAGTTTCGGCCTCAGCGCTGTTTGTGAAGGTGGGATCGTATTTGCAGTAGCCATAAGTCTTCCCTGCCTGGCTGAACTTTGCAGACGGCAGAGGATACACTTGCTGCCAGAGAACAATCGGCGCAAATCCCTTCTTGTCGGGAGAATAGCGAGCATCGCCCAGCTCGCTGAAAACGTAAGAGTATTCTCCAGCTTTGCTGGTGTCAAGATTGACTTGCGCACTACTACCCGCCAGGGTGACAGGCTTGTTGCTAATTGCAGCAGGCCCCTTGATTGGTTCGAACTTCTGCTGGTATTTGAGGTGGAAAGGCGGGCTGCCTGTGAGACCAAGGGCCAGAACTGATTCGTCTCCCTGACAAACTGCGGCCTTGCGGAAGCCTTTCGATCCTTCTGTCCCAATAGCCGGATCTTTGATTGATAGCGTTGGTCGGGGCAGCCAACTCACTTGGAATTTATTCGCTTTAGAATCAACGACGCCGGGGCAACTGTCATGAATAGAGACGATCTCGTAAGTACCCGGACGGTCGACTGAGATTTCGGCGTTTGCGTCTCTGAATATCTGCTCAAATGAGTCAGACCCGTCGTCTAGATTCTGTAGTCTGACCGCCCACGGGGCGAAGCCGTTGAGCCGCAATGGCAGTTTCACAGACCTGCCATCTAGTGCCAGGATCGATCGTTTGCCGTCAATATCGCCGAACGCCGCGCGTGGTTGCTCTTGTCTGACTTCGATCTTCCGTTCCTCCTGCAACGTCGTACGACATCGTGATTTGTCTTGGACTCCTGACAGTACAACAGAATAGCTCCCTCCTTCTGCAAAGGGGGGAAGTTCGATCATGCATAGCTCGTCCTCGGAGTGGATGTGGTGCTTCTTTCTTTTGCCGGCATGCACCAGCTCATAATCCAAATCCCACGGTCCTTGACCTGCAAGTCTAACTGGTATGGACACAGGCGAGCCGAGACACGCCTTTACAGCACGGTTGTCTCCGTGGAATATCGCAGACGCCGGTGGCTTGATGTCTTGTTTGAGGACGAGATTTTGGTCTTTTAGTGACACGCTGCCGTAGACTTGGTCTTCGATCTCATGGATTGTGTATATGTAAGAGCCAGCGGCTCTTTCACGCAATTCCATCTGACCGCGCATACCAGAAAATTCTTGGACTTTGGGGAAATCCGTCCCACGGTGGCTTATTGTGTATCGAACTTTGAAGGGAGGAGTGCCCGTGAAGTCAAAGTTAACATACATGCCAATTGGATTACCGGCACACTTGTCAAAAATGTCCTCGGACTCCATACTGAGACCTGGTTTGGGAGGGTTATGGAGCAGACATGACGAAGGTTCAACGACCTCGCCACGGCAGAACTGGCTGTCAACAGAATCGAGGCTATATTTGCCAGGCTGACTGATCAGAGGCATGGAGCGACGGTCCGCCATCTCGTGTACATGGTTTTCCGAGTGAACGGCTTCCCCTTCGCCGTCTGAGACAAAGCTGTACTTCACATTAAGCGGCCAGTCTGACGGATGCAATGTATCCACATGTTGGATTGAGATAGGAAGAGGAATAGCGTTTCCTTCACGGACGCGAAGTACGCGATCTGAGTTGAGGCCTCCCAATGTGACTCGAGGCCTGTTATGCACAGTCAAGCTCTGCACCCGTGGAGCATGAAAGTCCTTTGATTTGCTCCCATTGTAGACGACCTTGTTCCCGAGACCATCTTCTACTTCCTCGATGGTGTAAGAATGGCTTCCATTCTGGTGTAGAGATTCATTGATCTCGAACGACTCGGTTGTGGATTTCGTCCATCCCATATGTGGCCGTCGTGGATCGAGGACGACAGCCGAGGCCTCATCGCTGGAGACCAAGTCGAGATCCACATGGGGCAGTACATTCTGGACAATGGAACTGAATTGCTTGTGATTGACAGTCTTGCTATATTTGACTTTGAACGGTGGGACACCTGTGACTCGCAGAGCGACGTTGCTCAACTCTCCAGTGCATCTGTCCTCGGATTGAGTCGAGATGGACGCCAACGGGCAATGCACAACCGCCGTGTCGAAACTCCGTTTCCGCACTTCCAATTTTGTCGTGTCAATAACGCGTTGCAGCTGGTACAGGCCAGCCTTTGAAACCGGGTAATGTAGAGTCCGAGGCGTGTTTGTATCAGACTTGTGGTGACCGCTGTCGGCCTGTGTTTTCAACTGTCTGGCTTGTTTGCTGCTGATGGTGATCGTCTCGACTTCCTCTGTCTCAAGGTCGTACCGTTGCAGCTCAATAGAAATAGGTGTCGTCTGATTGATCTGAATCGGTAGTTCCACTGAGGGTCTCGACGCGTCAATGCAAAACGCCCTCTTCTCGGGATTCAGAATGGCAGAGCCCTCTGGAAGGATGTGTATAATTTGTTTGCCCAAGATGATCGAGGAGTTGTGTAGAATATCGCCTGGTTTCACCCGGTGCTCCGAGATCGACAGCTCGCGATCATAGGCTACCTTGACCAGTGCCCCCAGCCACGTCAGGAAAGGTATTGGTATCTTGTACATTAAGAAAGCATTTGCAATAGCATGCAGCAACCATAGTGTGAAAGCCGTGGGAAACGAGAACTCCAGCCAGGGTATCTTAAACGCCGGTAGCGCCACGAAGAATGCGGCATCAATTCCTACCCATTTAAGAAACAACCACGTCGAATCCAGATCATTTTCCACATTGTAGGAGTTGTACAGCCTCCAGGCTGTGAGAGCAATATAAAACCCAAAAACGTAGAATCTTTGAGATGGAACGTCGACGATTTCGGTCGGTATCAGGGGCGTAGGGGCACCCGCCCGCTCACCAGGGGTTTTCACAGGTCGTATTATCGGTGATGGTCTCTCAGGAAAGGGAGAAGGGGGTGAGCCCAGAGCTGAGCGTTCATTGTTGTTGAAGGTTCGGCGTCGAGGGTCTGTTCGTGGAGTGGTAGGGAAGGCCGACCGCAGTCGCGGAGTTCCATTCATTGCACCATGCGGCTGTGAAGTATTCTCTCTTGTATCAAACCCAAAATGCCTCCTCCGTGAAATATTGGAGTTGCCTATCAGCACTGGTTGGCTGAGTCGCAGTTTCGAGGGAAAAAGATCTTGGATTCAAAGCGTGAATGCTCGTGGAGGTTTTGGGACAACCGAAATCGCTTGATGTCTGCTGTTTATTTTTTTTCAGCAAGTACAATCCTGTAGCCGTGGAGAAGAAAGATAGTTCTAACACCCAATTTTTACCTGTTGGAGAGCGATTGACGCAGGTTTCTGTCGCGTTTGCACGCGTCTTGCAGTCCGTTGCCAGGCACAAGGCTGAAGGTCAAAAATGGCTTGGCGATGTAAATGACGTCAGTTCCACAGCCTTGCGCACAAGGCTCGCTCCTCTCCTTTATCCCCGTGTCCCCTTCAGGACAGAACCTTCGATTCCTTTCGAGTTCAGGCTGAGATCAACAACATCCCCGGGGATCCGGCCCGCCACGTGGTAGTCCATGAAATAATGGAACCTCGTTACCGTACCCAAATGGATCAGGTGCGAAGCTGGTGAGAAAGTCATTGCCTTTCCAGATGGAGATTCGTCTTGTCCGACAAACCAGACACTTTTCCGACCGGCCTGTACTGTTGGTCCTCCTCCTATACAACTGAAAGACAGAATAGTCCTTTCAGGAACTATTTCTGCAGTGGTTTTACCCACGCATCCTCCGCCAAATCAAGTGCAGCTTCGTTCTCATTCTACACACAAAATTATCTCAAAACCCCTTTCCGGGATGGCCACCGCTGGAGCTGTCGCCGTTTCGGAGCCAACCACCCACGTACCAGCAGAAAGGGATACACTTCAGGAGAGTCCAGGTGCGGCTTCAACGCCCCTGGATACAACCTCAACAAATACCGAGGATGTCCCACCTGCTAATAACCAAATCGCTTCGTGGAAAGGATGGGCAGAAATAGAAAATGACCCGGTAATTCGTTCCCTTCGCTTACCAAGGGGTACCCAACTGATCTTGGATCCAGATTGTGTTCAGCACCTTGTTACGAGAATGGGGTGTCTCCAATGTCCAGGTCAACGAAGTAGTGCCACTTGACAGCGTCTTCGAGTATCCGCCGTAAGCAGAAACAATTTGTGCTTGGAATCCATGCTAATCAGTGCACAGGCAGAGTATCTACGGACTAATCTTTTTGTCGAGATGGGCCGCACCCGAAACCGAAAATGATCTTACACAGCCTCCCACCGGAATTTGGTTCGCAAACCAGACGCTTTCCAATTCTTGTGCCACGGTTGCTCTTATGAATATCGTCAACAACCAGGCCACGGTTAACCTGGGCCAGCCACTCGACGACTTCCGGGCGACCACTATGCATTTGACCCCCGTTGAACGAGGCCTTGCCCTAGATCGCTTCGACCACGTTAGAGACGTTCACAACTCGTTTGCCACAGAGTTTGACAAGATGAATGTCGATCTTCGTCTCAAACAGGACATGGCTCTGGCCGAAAAGAAGAAAAGAGCCGCAAATGCCAAACGGCCACGCAAGAAACTCAAAGCAGAAGACGAAGCCGACGAGGACGAAAGCGGTCTTCATTTCATTGCATATGTGCCAGCTGGAGGGGTGGTATGGAGAATGGATGGCTTGGAGCGTCTTCCACGGAAGCTAGGCTTTGTGCACGAAGGAGATAGCTGGATCGCCATGGTTCTTCCGGAGCTACAGGCTCAGTTGGAATCCGCAACGACCAACTCTTTGGAGTATTCCTTGCTCTCTCTGACCGCATTGGACGACTCGTTGAGCTTGGATGCGGATCAGGTGAAGATGGAGAGAACACGAGAGGATTGGGGGCCATTCCTGGCGAAAATGGTCAAGGTGCATGCTGAGAAGGGTACTTTGAAACAGGGACTGGGGTAGAGTTGAAGGACACCATATTTGTTAGACAATATGTAAAAGATCGGAATTGATAATCTGGGAGATGTCTCATCACCTGTCGAAGCGAAACCAGTACTTACCTGAGATTTCGATCATTAATTCGGAACCTCGTTCTCTGTCACTCTGTACCTCTGGACTGCGGGCGCAGTTGGTGGTAGTTGGCCGCTGCGCTTGGCGGTCACGAGGGCTTCCTGGCTCTTGGCCGTATAACATCCTCCTTCATCTCGAACCTCAGAACCTCAATCGCACCAAGCACCACCAAGTAACTAACTCACCAGACTCCCATATCATCATCCGCGAAGAACACCGCGCCGACACTGCGCCCTCGCACTCGCCGAGGAATCAGGTCGCGATGACCTCGCCACTCACACAACTTCCTAATGAGGTCATTCATGTCATTCTGTCATACTTGCCCTTCCAAAGCAACACCGCTCTGCAACAAACCTGCCACCGCTTCGCAGATGCCGCCAAAGAACCACTTGTATGGAAGAAATACTGCCAGGACTTTTTCAGGTGGTGGGATCGACGGCACTCGTTCCCCGAAAAACTCCGAGATGCATCCTTCGTTGCGTGGAAGGAGATGTTTGCAGAGCGGTACAAGACATCCAAGGCCACTCGACAAGCCCTCAATACGATGATCGAGGAGGACTCCGGGCGACTCGACTCGTTGAGAGTCATCCTGGACGCTCGTTACGACGCCAAGGACCACTTGTTCGACATGTACTGGAATGCACCCTCTTCCCCGAACCACCTTGCCCAGAAGTGAGTCTCTCTGTAGGGCCCACCTGTTGGTCATGCTTCTGATCTCTTTTTAGATACTGGAGCCATGCGGCTTTAGGCTGTGTACAGAGACTGATTGCGGTTGAGGAGTGGAAAGATATCCCACCAGGAGAATATCGTGCGGACTCACTTGAACGGTCACTGTCTGCTTTCGATATGTTTATCCTCGAAGAAAAGGCCGTGGGTGACATGTCCGATGTGAGTTTGTTTGACCAGGCCATGTCGCTGCTTCCGTCCTAGCTAAATGTCGCGTCAGATCCTTGCTCGTCTTGATTCCTACGTCCTTTCGGTCCGCGAGGCTCACCCCCACATCGATGGAATGTCGCCGCGGATGAGAGCGAGCATCATCGCTCAGCATCTGCTAGACAAAAAATGGGTAGGCATCACAGATGGACGAAACTACCACTCCATCGACCATATGTTCCTCGGAGTAGCTCTGTTTAGCACCAACAGAAACTCGGTCCCTCTTATCTCGGCCAGCATCTTTTGTTACGTTGCACGTCGATTTAACTTGCGAGCCGAACCTTGCAGCTTTCCTTTCCATGTGTATGCATTCGTGCAGCCTCCGCCTGGATTCGACATTGACGGCCACCCCCTTGCAGAATCTTCCAATCAAGAACCGTCCGATCTGACACTCTTCTACATGGACCCTTTCCACAACTCAGAACCCATCTCCCGATCAAGGTTGGAGACACGGCTCAAATTCATGAATCCTGGTGTAACACCAACTCAGACTGTCGCATATATGTCGCCGGCGCCTCCCCGTGACCTCTCAGCACGCACAGCCCTCAACATTTTAGCCTCCCCTTCTCACGACCCCGGTCTTCCATTACATCCGATCAACGCCAACTTGGCCGCCTACTCTGCTTTGTTCGCTCTCGTCAGCATCCCATCCGAACCCCCCAGGCACGCAACACACTTGCGCCAACATCTCGCCGTCCTTACGCAGCACTTTCTCGAATATTTTGACCTGGATATCCACTTGTTTGAAACCTGCGTCCTTCCACTGACAAATGATCTGCCCGACGCCCGTGCTTACCGCAACTTAATTTTGCAGTTGAAGGAGTCGGATCACGAGTCACGCCCAGCCAAATATCGGGCTGATCCTCGCAATTCAGAAGTGAAATACAGCGTAGGCCAAGTCTTTAGGCACCGTCGTCGGAATTACGTGGCCGTGATTTATGGGTGGGATCCCTACTGTCGCATGCAGGAGCAGTGGATTACCATGAATCAAGTCGATCGCTTACCAAACGGAAGATCTCAGCCCTTTTACAATGTTCTCGTGGAGGATGAGTCGACACGCTATGTGGCGGAGGAGAACGTGGTGCTGTTGGGTCCCGATGATTTTTCGGAGGAGTATGCCAACAATTTTCCCATCGAGGTTGGAAAGTGGTTTAAGCGGTATGATCCGGAGACGGCGACATTTGTGAGCAACGTGAAGGACGAATACCCCGACGACTAGCAATTCCTTGGTAAAGGGGATGGTGATGGCACTGGGCTGCTTTCAAAATCGACTGACAGATCTGGCTCTGCGGCGACTGCACAGATTATGGGTCTCCTGGGATGTTTCCAGTCAGCACGAAAGGTGGCCGTTCTGGACCATACGATGCTGCTTCTGCGCTTGTTTAAACACGAATGAGGGAATACCGACTTCGCAAATACTGGCATTGTCAAGAGACTGACACCGGACCAGGACGACGAAATGAAGACGGGGAGCTGTTAGTCGACCACACAAGCCTTATCAACGTTACTGAGCAGCTTAGCCAGAAACATACCTGAGTTGAACCTTGCAGGCATCATGCGGCAGAACTCACTGGGCTAAATGGATGATTGTCTTCCACTTCGTCTCGCTGTTGCCTGGAGGGATCACTGTGACCTGCGGCTTGAGACCTAATTTTTTACTTGATTTCGGGTATCAGGTAGGTTCCTGGAGAATGCAGCTGAGGCAATGTGCTCGCTATAAGGGATTTCCTGATGTGAATCCTGCGCCAAATGCATCTCAGCTCCCTGAATTTGGATCAAGTCGACCGCCCTCCTCTTCAAAGCATGTACCAAACCATTACCTACTACGGTAGCAATTCCTACGCTGTCTGACTGTTGGTCGCTTCGAAAATCCACCTAAGCACTTGGACCTTGGCCTACGAAGACAACGAGGACTGCAGCATACCCTGCGATTGCAGCCAGAAGCTCCTGGTTGGACACGCTGCTCGATGCAGCCAAGCTTATAGCGAAGACGAACAACCAGAGCACGACGGACATGAGTTGGTACTTCAAGGCTGATACGTAGACCAAGTTGTACAACGGCGCCACCAGGAATACCACCCCGGCCCCTGCCACAATGAATCGGGCCAGACTGTCGGCCGCATTCGCGATTTCGCGGGGTCTGACTTCCGGGGGAACGAGCCGCGAGAACGAAACCGGGTCCTCCTGAGGGCGCCGTTGCCAGAACCTACGCCAACGCCAAAGCCAGACAGAAAGCCCTCCTTCGTGGATACGATGAAACGACATGAGACCTGTTGCGACGGCGTTCCGGACAGAATCCACGCTGGTTGTGAGATTGAGGTCGACCATCTCTTGCGCATTCTTGAACTGGTAACGGTCATCCGCCAGCATGACTTGAAACACCTTGGCGGTATATTCGGCATCTGTTGCGGACGGACTCGCCCACCCTTCGAGCTCCTTGAACGTTCGGAGCGCCTCGGCTGAATTCCTCACGAACAGGTTAGCTCAGAAATGAACGTAATTGACACTATCTCCAGGACAGCCTCGAGCACGGCTAGGGATCGTTCTATTCAGGGGACAGCCTACATACCGTATTCTCTCAACAGCTTCGCCAGGGCGTTATGGTCGTCGTCTGAAAGGACCTCGTGGTCTCGAACACCCTGCTCGAGATCCAGAAGTCTCTGTTGGTACGTAAAGAGGCTCAAGAGATGAAGCGGTCTGAAACGCCGGAATCGCATGCTGTTTTCCACTGCACCGAATCCTCCGCTGGCAAAGCTGGCAAATATTCGATTCTTGTCACTCTTGGGAATTCCTTGCCATTCCAGCCCATATGCTGCATCGAACTCTTCCTCTTCCACACTTAAGTCGGAGGCTTTGTTTGCAACAGGACTTTCGACTTGGGGACGCGGCTCGATCGGCGCGGGTGCCACAGCCGGCGGCTCGGCAGGGACTATGGTAGGAGGTCTTGGAGGCTCCTCTGGCGGTGGCGGCTGGGGCACCGCAGGAATCAGACTCGGACCCTTGTCTGTCCTGAGGGATGCGAGAGCATTGAGATCCACGTCTCCCAGGTGGTCTGCCCAGTCATTAAATCCTTGCTCTGGGATGAGGGAACGGGTAGGATCAAAATCCATTGTGCCTCGGGCGAAGTGGGCAAATGACATGAGCGGTCTTGTCTTCTCGGCCTTTACTTGTAATCTGGCAGTAAACTGCTGGTCGTTTTGTCGCCTGAGCAGAACGGCACCGGTGAAGGAGCCAGAAACACCATGCTGCAACTGGCCGTCTTCTGAAAGCTTCCAAGACACCGAATCTGGACCACCCCAGTTCCGTTTTATCAATCGAGCTACGCCCTGGAGTCGCATTCCCCTCCCCATGTCCTGCGTGAGCGATCTCTCTAGTCGAAGCCCACCCATGTCGCGGGACAGACTAGGGAGGGTCAGGCTGCCTTGAGGCGCGAGGGTCAAGACCTCCGGGCCTCGCCCCTCGGGCCCGACACTCTCAAATAATATCCTGATGTCAATTGCTTCGATTCGGCTTTTCCTACTCGTGAAAGACATGTTGAATTTGAACACGAGGAGAGAGCATGGCACTTTGTCTGAGGGATTGAGCGTTCCGTGGATGGCGGCATAAAGCCTCACATCTAACCGTGGCTCATCCTTGTTCCGGGCCATGATCACAGTTGGCGGGAGTGCTGCCTCCGGATCCGGGTCGTTGGCCATTCTATCTATTAATGGGAGAGAGAACAAAACGTGTTGTGGGAAGTTCTAGGATCAAAATTGGGACCACTGTGACCATTGGGCTGTGCGACAATAGTCGGCGAGATATTGGGGTTGGTGGGAGGGGAGATAAGAGCAAAGATCAAGAGAGTTTCGGATGGGGAGGGCCGAGTGGTTTTGGGGATTGAGGAATCACAAGATCCTCAACAGGCCTGGATGAAGTGACTGGAGGAGGAGAAGGAGGAGGAGGAGGAGGAGGTGGTGGTGGTGGTGGTGGTGATGGTGGATTTAAATACATACCCGTTAAAAGACGATCAGGCTGGCGGAAACTAGAAATACATAACATGCATAAAACTATGAGGGACGATCGTTTACGAAGTTCATGTTGAGGCGCATCACACACACGCATATTTCGCTCCAGGTGAGGCTGAACGGCTGAGTCTGTTCCTAGGTATTGGCCTATTGGCAAGTTTGGATCGTGGTTGTGGCGGTGGTCCAGGCAGTTCCAGTGATGTGATTGACGTGGTCGTCCTCATAGCCAGTAGCCAGTGGTAACCAGTAGGCGCTGATGTGGCCCCCAAATCGCCAACTCTGGCTAAGGTCGCGCGGGCCGGAGCGAATGGGGGCTCGAGCGGATAGAGGCGAGCCAAGTAGCAGTAGAGGTAGTAGTGAATTGTCTCGGCGATCTTGGATCTAACTTCTTACTACCTATGAAGAAAATACCGTATAATGAATGGTATATATCCTACAAATAGATAATACAGGTGCTGGTATCTCGTGCTTTGTATCAGCTGGCATGTAGAGCGCCGCAAGGTAAAGGGAGTCAGCCCATTGAAGGTGGTGGTGGTGGGCGATGTTGAATGATTCTTTCAAGATATCCATTTCCCGCCCTCACCGTCTGTTCTCCTCTTTTTAAAAAAAACCCTTGGCGGAACTCTGCTTATAACGGTGTGGATCACATATCAATCTCGTTCCAGGACGCCGCTCGAGATTCTGACCCAGACGAGAAATCCTTGGGAGTCGATATGTCATGACCACCAAATCACCCCGTCCCTTTTCCTCCTACAATAGCCATCCAACAACACCGACGACGGCTCCGATAAAGGACCCGGCAATAAGATCCTTGTTCTGGAAAGAGGTCAGCATGTTGTATCGCGATCGACGAGTCTTCAAGCCCTACCTGAACGATGATACCGCCGTTGGAGGAGCTGCTAGCCGTCGGACCAGAGGTGCCAGTAGTCAGGGCCGTGGGCTCGGCACTGGCCGAAGCAGGCGTGGTTCGTCCAGCATTCGCCGCGGCGAATTGGTCAAAGCAGGCTGAGGAGGTGGCCTGCGCGCAGCACGAGTCGATCCGCGACTGCCCGACACTGGTGCAGAATTGACAGACGCCGTCGACGGCAATTTGTTCGAGATTCATCGACTCGCTGACTGCGAGGTCCGACAATGCTGGCAGGCCGTGGATGTAGTTCGTGCAGATGGTGAAATACGATGAGGCCAGGTCGTCAGACAGGGTGGGAACGGGTGCGACGGTTGAGCCGATGAATTGAGAGAAGACCGACGAGTCGGCCTGGACGTATGCGACCCGCGTCAATACGGCCAGGTAGAGGAGAGCTGCGCGATATGAAGGCATGATGGATCGCAGAGGATGCCGAGGTCACGGTTATCGAGGAATAAGTTTTCGATGGTGGTTATGGGAAGATCTCTGAGGGGGGGATTCAACACGTCTGGAATTGTCTTCGACGAGAATGAATGGCCCTGCCACAATAATATAAACTGTTGATAACCATGGCTTGACACTGCAAGGGGTTGGCGTCAATATCTCCTCCGTCTCCGGCCTATTGACATCCCCTTCCTCTCGTGTGACAACTAGTAAACAGTCCCAACGCCTAACACGACTCGGGCTGAATTACAATCGCGCCGCTGCAGGTGTCCTTCAATCTTGTTGCTTTTGAGATGGCATAGGGTCGGCGCCAGGCGTGAAACAAGCCTCGTAGACGCCACAGGGGCAGTTGGGCAGGCAGCGAGCCCGTGATAGGCGTGGATGCGGCTCACACGCAAGGGCTATCGACATGGTGCGTTGGATAGGGGGACCATCTCGCGAGGCTAGGGGAGGGTAGCTCCTCGTATTCGCAATGTCCACCCCGTAAGTTGCAGGTGATGGTGATGATAGTGCAGCTTGGCAGATTTCAACCGGCGAACTTCTAGAAGCCGGTTTCTCCAAAGGCTGACCAGGTTGCTGGATTGACATGGTGATTGCCCCCATCAAGATTGACCGACTTGCTTCTTTAGCGGGCATGAGACACCTGGTTGGGTTGTTGATCGGATTTTCATCGTCCTCCCTGCCTGCGGTCCTCCCTTGACACCCAATGACCCCTTGGACTTACAGGATCTCCTATGTACTTCCGAGTATCTACTCAGCTTGAGTGCTGCTATTCCATTAGCGTCCACGCCTAAACATCTGTCACGCTAGGCCGTTGGTATCGACCTTGACGTTGTGCAGCGCCTGTAAGTCTTCTGTCGATCATTG